CTAACCCTAAACCCTGACCATCCCTCCAATAAGCCTACTTCCCTTTGCCTCCATTGTCTTATCGACTATCGCGACCCTAATTGTTGTTTTATTTAGACTAATGCGTACCCCGTGGGTAGATGCATGTGTGTATGGGTGTGTGTGTGTGTATGTGACACGCCGCGTCCTATGCGGTAGCGGATTTGCTGGATCTCGAATCGGAGCTTCACAACATCGAACAGGGTTACAACCAGTTCCAAAATATTCCTGCATTTGCCGAAGATTCATGGCCCAGCAATGATATCTTCGCCGGTGTACAGCCAACAGCTGCTGCGCTACATTCCGTGTCAAGTGGTACTGCTGTTGAGGAGAGTGCCGGAACTCAGAAGGGCGCTACTGGTGCCGCTGCTGACAGCGGCCCGAATGAGTCATCCGGCACTTCCGGACCGAGTAAAGACAGCATCGACGATGCTACATTGGAACAAGTAGTGAAGAGAGGAATCATGACCGAATATGTGGACAAGAGAAGACGCAGAGAAAAACCGGACGAAGTTATAATCCGTGAACTCATGCAAAGCATCAAAGATACTGTAGCTGCACGAACCGACCATGGTGCTGGGAAAAGAGCTTTTATGGATAATTACTACCAGAATCTCGCTATTGATTGGCACGGTTCACCGGAACTTCAGTGGAGAGGTCAGTGTTGGCAGCGGAAATGCAGTCTTTCATTAATCTTCATTTGGCAGTAAACGTTGGAAGAGGCATTTGCATAGTTTTTCCGTGCTTAAAGAGGAAATCGATCGACGTGTGATGATTTTTGAAAATGTTTTGCCGGAGGATATCTATGACCCGTGGTTTTATACCGTTATTTTGCGCGCAAAACGAGTTGTGATGGATTTTCCAAGATCATCGGGCAAAATTGATGCGACTTTCAAGGATTTATTCGGAAGAGTTGAGACCTATTTTCAAAACGATCATCCCATCGCCTACTGTGCGGTAAATTATCTTATACATATTCGAACTTATGGCCACCGAATCAAAATTTTCCTCCCTCAAACAAAGATGGCTACGGGGATGTATTATGCAAATATCCAGTCAACAAGAAACCAGTCAAGCCAACAAA